CCAGTCATCCTTCTGAATTTTAAGGGGAGTCTCTGAATATAATCTGGTCAAACAGTTGGGAACATTCAGCAATTCTGGCACCAGTGGCAGGCCTTCCTTGCCTGTTCTCTTCTAAGATAGCTGGCAGATCTCTGTGCGTGGACTTAGGATGCTGGCTGACTGGTGGCTGTTCCAACTCTGGACTTCTCACTTATAAAAGCTGATTTGCCTTCTTGGTCTTCTTGCAGTACTGCCGAGCCATCATGAAAACCCTGCTTTCTGTCTTATCTGCAGCCTCCATCCCGAGGTCAGGGTTTTCTGGGTCTGTTTGGGACAGACTGCTGTCAGCCAAGTCATAAGGAAGGTCCACAGGAGGCATCTCACTGGCCATGGAGAGCCGGTTAAGACTCAAAAATGAGCCTTCTCTAGAAATCAGGTCTTCGAAAGGGTAGTTGACCTGGCTTGCTCTGATGCCCCTGCTTTTCCCTGGTGTAGGGAAAACCTGGCTTTCAGGCAGTGACAGTGCAGATATGGAGTAAGTTGTGTGCCGGCCCAGCTCTGGGGAGCTCCAAGCGTGCAGCCCATCTTATACATCACCTTTGCTTACAGGAAATATGGCGAGGAGACGGTCTCCAGCCTTGTCTTCATTTTTCTTGATGTAATTTTCCAGGTCATTCCAGATTTCATCCACTTCCTCAGACAGTTTATCAGATACAGGCTTATCAGCAGCAGACAAGTCACAGCTGGAAGAGGTGTGCAGCAGGCTCAGATAATCCTTATCAGAGGCACCCTGCAGGGAAGGCTGCTCTTCACTAAACTGGAGGCTGTCCTGGGAAATGAAGGGCCTTAGACTGTCACAACACACAAAGTCGTCTTCCAGACCCAAAAAGGTGTTCTTTTTTGGACGTTTTAGGCTGCCACACTGGAAATCCAGTGGTGGTGGCTCTGAGAGCCCTATAGTGTCATAGATGTTTTCCTCAACCACATGGAGTTCATGTGTGCTTTGGCTGGATGCCTCCTGACCTATGAGAGCTCTGTCTTTTGGGGTGAGAAGAAAGCTCTTACGGTGGCCAGCTTGCCTCTTTGAGAAGGCTAGCTCTGGAGTGCTCTTGGGGGGAATGGAATCCCTAATGGATCTAGGGGGCATGGATTCAGCTTCTCTCTTAGCCACCATTAGTTTTAAGGCCACATAACTTATGTTATCTCAGACATGGTCTATATCATCAACAGTTAATTCTGTAGATGACCCAAAGGGGGTCATCCCCTCCTGTTCTTCCATCTTGGGGATGTTCTGCAGCTCCCTCTGGGGGTTATATTGAGAGCCATGGCTGTTCCTAATTCTTACTTCAGGAGGGCATGTTTTGCTCTCACCAGCACTGCTGGCCTGCCTGACAATCCTGTGACCAGAGCTGGGCATCTCCATGGACTCGATCTGTCCCATATACCAGCTGCAAGGATGACTCGAGGTGCTTTCTTCATGCAGCCTGGCAGAGTTCAAATCTGAGGAGGAGAAGGATGGCACAATCATCTAATAATCATCTTCATCACCTCATCCTCCTGTGGGGGTCAGTGGCCAGGAAACAAGGCTTACCTGATCTGGTGATCTGTCCAGAGGTTTCTGGCATTTCCACTCCCTCGAAACATGCTGATCACAGCAGAGCTGCTCGGCTGACTGTTCCTCTGGGTCAGAGATGGAGGTGCTGAAGTCAGCTGGGGAGATCCTTCCTCTCTAGAAACCTTTTGGATGTCTTGTGTTGTTTCACTGGTATTCAAAACTTTATGTGATCATGAGAAAGGTTCAGATTTTCTTCTCAGCTGACAAGGAGTACAACTCTCTTTAGAGCCACAAAGAGCTTTGGTCTCCACCTCGGGGCTGCTTGCTTAGCCTTAGACAGAATCTTTGCCACATGATTCTCCAGGATCCACTTCCCACAGGTGCAGCACCCACAGGTTCTTGTCTTGCTGGGATTTAGCCTGAACCATGTGCTGCACCTTGGGGTTCTTGTAGTGGAAGATGCTAAAACTGAGCAGCTCCTTGGGGATCACCTCCAGAAGCATGAGGTTGCTGCACAGGATGTCATCTCTCTTCTTTGTGATGAGAAACAGCTTGTCAAAAAGGAAGAGCATCCGCTCATTCTTAGCTATGGAAGGTCCTTGGATATGGAAGGTCCTCTCGAGTACCCGTTCCCCATAGCTTGTCAGGTCTAGCCCCTTCCAGTTAGTGAGCAAACTCTGTATCTCCTGTAACCAGATCGTTTGCTCATGTTTCCACTTCATGTCATTGATGTGCCAGGCTACTCACTGCATTGTGTCTATAGCATCAAGCACCACCTTGTAGCCTTCTGTGTCCTTATTAAGGTGATTTTCTATTTTGTGCAGAAGTAGATGATATTTGAGAATCTGCTGAACTCGTTTCAAGAGATAGGACCCCAGAGGCAATGAATGTTTCAGAGTTTCCTGATGTTCCCTGCAGAATTTGGCCTGCATATTGTTCCTCATGCACTCTGTCAGCACAGAGACTGATCTCTGATAGTTAGTGCAATACTGCATATGAATGTGGAACTCTTCACTCTTGAACACAGAACATTCTGCTATGGCCACAGAATAATTTTCACAGTTTTCCAAATCTTGCAGAAGTTCACTATTGAAGTGATAGATATCCTGTATATTTCCAAAAAGGGCTAATCTTTCTTCAGTCCCCAGGGGAAGTTTCATTTGGTCCCTGATAGAGTTAAGGTAATCCTTTCATTGCCTTACTCAAACAACACCCAAGACGGGGAACAGGAGAGAATAGAGATGCCAAGATCCTATAATTTTTTAATTTGATTCTCCTCAGGTTTTGTATCAAGTTTATTTTATAATTTTTTAGTATTTATTTTTATCCATATTAAATCATAACTGTGTACATCAATGCATTTATGGGGTATAGTGTACTAATTTGATTTATAATGTGAAATGCTTATATCAAACTGATTAACACATCCATCACCTCATTTACTTATTTGTTGAGATAAGTCCGTTATAGTCTTCTTTTACTAGTTTTGAAATTTACCATTGCGTTATTCACATTAGATGAGGTTCCCTCAAATATCCTCTCTCCTCCCAACCTCTCCCCTCCTCTACCTGTCCTTCTCTTCCATCCTACTTTCTGGACTATAGTTATTTTACCATTTGGATAAATGTATAGGTGATTATATATTGATTTTATAACAGTAATGTGTACATTGGATACGTTTTTTTCCATTTTTGAGATACTTTACTAAGAAGAATATGTTCCAGCTCCATCCAGGTAAACATAAAAGATGTGAAGTCTCCACTTTTTAATGGCCACATAGTATTCCATGATATATATATATATATATATATATCTCTCAACTTGTTAATCCATTCATGGGTTGATGGGAATGGGCATTTGGGTTGCTCTCAGTTATGAATTGGGATCTATAAATATTCTGGTGCAAATGTCTTTGTCGTAAAATGATTTTTGGTCATCTGGGTGTATACCTAGTAGAGGAATTGTAGGATCAAACTGTAGGTTTACATTTAGTTCCTTGAGTATTCTTCAATCTTCTCTCCAAAAAAGGCACATTACCTTGCATTCCCACCAGCAGTGTATCAGTGTTCCCTTCTCTACTCATCCACCCCAACATATGTATTTTTTGGATTTTGTGATGCAGGCTAATCTTACTGGAATTTAATGATATCTCAAAGTAGTTTTGATTTGCATGTCTTTGAAGATTAATTTTTTTCTTGTATTTGTAGGCCATGTGCCTGTCTTCTTCAGAGAAGTTTCTGTTCATGTCTCTTGCCCACATAAAAATGGGGTTATTTATTCTTTTCTTATTGATTAGTTTGAGTTCTTTGTGGATTCTGATTATCAGACCTTTACTGGAAGCATAACCTGAAAAAATCTCCAATTCTGAAGGTTGTCTGTAATTTTATTGATGAGTTATTGAATTCTATTAACTAGAATATTATTGAATATTTTGCATTGATATTCATTAATAATATTTGTCTATTATTTTCTTTCTTTGTTGGGTCCTTTCCTGGTTTGGGGATCAGGGGGACATTTGCCTCATTTCTTTGTGGGCAAGAGATATGAATAGAAGCTTTTCTGAAGAAGACAGGCACATGGCCTACAAACACATGAAAAATGCTCATCATCTTTAATCATCAGAGAAATGCAAATCAAAACCACTTTGAAATATCATCTAACTCCAGTAAGATTAGTCCACATAACAAAATCCCAAAACTACAGATATTGGTGTGGATGCAGAGAGAAAGGAACACTGCTATACTGCTGGTGTGAATGCAAACTAATACAGCCTTTTTGGAGAGAAGTTTGAAGGATACTCCAGGAACTAAAAGTAGAACTACCGTTCGATCTGCAATTCCTCTACTAGGTATATACCCAGATGATAAAAATTCATTTTAAACAAAGACATTTGCACCAGAATGTTCATTGCACCCCAATTCATAATTTTCAAGTCATAGAAGCAGCTCAAGTACCCACCGACTCATGAATGGATTAACAAATTGTGGTATATGTATAGCCATTAAAAAGTTGGAGACGTCACATCTTTTATGTTTACCTTGATGGAGCTGGAACATATTCTTCTTAGTTTAATACCTTAAGAATGGAAGAAAACGTATTCAATGACTCAATACTACTATGAAATCAATATATCATCACCTACACATTCATAGGAATGGTGAAACATAATTAGAGCCCCAAAAGAAGGAGGGAAGTAGAGGGAGAGGGTGGGGGGGGAGGCCGGGAGGAGGGAGGATATTTGGTGGGCCTCACCTAATGTGCATAAGGCGTGGTACATTTCAAAACTATTACAAATAGAGTATAAATGTCTTACCCCTACAAATAAGCAAGCAAGGTGATGGATGTGCTAATTAGTTCAATGTAAACATTCCACATTGTATATCAAATCAGCACATTATACAGTACATTATAAATGCATTAATGTACACAGTTATAATTTAATAAGGAAAAAAAATAAGGGGGCCATGTGCTCACTTTGGCAGCACATGTACTAATATTGGAATAATACCGAGAAGATTATCACAACCCCTGCACAAGGATGACATGCAAATTCATGAATCATTCCGTATTTTTCTGTGAAGAAAAAAAATATTTTATCGTAAGGACATATGAATTAATAATCTCCAAGATGTGGAAACAACCTAAATGCTCATCAACACAGAAATGGATAAACAAACTCTGGTATTTGTATACCATGGAATACTATTCAGCCACAAAAGATGGCTAAATTAATCTGGGTGGATTTGAAACACATTCCTCTCAGTACAGTATCACAAGAATGGAAAAGTCAATATCCAGTGTGCTCAATACTCATATGAAGTCAGTAGATGACTTAATTCATTACTATAGAGGAAGAAAACCCATTTCAATTTAAATTTGAGAGAGGGAAAATGAGGAAGGGGGACTTAGGATACTCCTACTTAATGAACACAATGTATGGCTGTATGGCGCACTTTTGGGGTGAAGGACATAACTATAGGAGGGACTCTACCTATCAAATTCAAATATTGTGACTGGATTGTTTATACCCTTATATTAATCCAAAATAAAGAAAGAAAAGGGACAAATGCCACTATCTACTTGCCAAAGAGACCTGGTCCTGTCTTCCTGAATTTTTACCCTTAGTCAGGGCTTCATTGTTTTGCTAGCATTCAGTCCTTGTGAGATCGGGATCCTGAAGGTTTCACCATATTTCTTAGATAGCACCCTTCAACTGGAAGGCACAAAGTGGCTTTCCCAGGAGTGTGGGAACCATTCAACTAAGCCAAAGAATGGCTGCCAAGCTTAGCAGGTGCTCCAGAGCTGGCTGTGCCCTAGGACCCTGCATACTGTTCTTCCCTGGTAGCCTTACTTCAGTGGCAGTGCCCAGATAGTAAACAAGCTGATGGGAGTTCTATCCCAACCAGTGATTCAATCCTGGCTGCAGGATATTGTTCAAGTTCACTTGCTCCCTTAAGCCCTTCCAAGGCAGCTTCAGTGAGCTCTTCAGCACAACAAAGAACAAAAAAAAATTAGAGAATGGGACTTCCTGCTCTCTAGGCCTCCACTGCCACAGGGCTGGCAGGCCTCTGCCCACACCCAAGAACTTGCTTTTTGTGCCCATCTTCCACTGCTCCTTACCTCCTTGCTGGCTCCTGGAGTGCCCTACTGCTTAACAGTGCCCCTGGAGTGATGTTTCTGGGCAAGACACCACAGCCAGTGGTGGCTAGTGTCCTCTATCCCCTCTCTCACCATGAGTGGCTACTAAGGAGATGTGTCTCGTAATTCATCTTGCTATGCCCTCCTATTTTCTTTTACTTTTCATTTTTTTGAGGCAAAATCTCATTCTTTCCCCCTGGGTAGAGTGCTGTGGCATCATAGTTTATAGCAACCTCAAACTCTTGGGCTTGAGAAATCCTCTTGCCTCAGCCTCCTAAATAGCAGGGATTATAGGCATGTACCACCAAACCTGGCTATTGTTTCTATTTTTAGTAAAGACAGGGTCTCACTCTTGCTCAGGGTGGTCTTAAACTCCTGAGCTAAGGAAATACACCCACCTCGATCTCCCAGGGTGCTAGTATTATAGGTATGAGCCACTGTGCCAGGCCCCACTCTTTGTTTTTCAACCATTTTATCCTTTATAAAAAATGCTGCTGTCTTTTTTTCTGTTTTCTATTTATGTGCTCTTTTTGTTCTCCTTTTGGTAATAGTGTGCATGCACACACACAAACACACATACTCACACACTCCTATTCTTTTTTTTTTTTTTTTTAGTTTTGGAGATTCATTGAAGGTACAAAAATTTAGGTTACAGTGATTGTGTTCATTAGGTGAAGTCCCTCTTATAATTGTTTTCCATCCTCAGGAGGTGTGCCATACACCATGAACACCATCCTCCTCCCTCCTCCCCTCTCCCTATTCCCTCATTCCCCTACCCTCCGCCTTGTATTATATCATCTACTACCTTTATATTAGAATTGAGTACATGGCTTCCTCCTTCTCAATTCTTGTGATGCTTTGCTAAGAAGAATGTGTTTCAGCTGAATCCAAGTTAATACAAAAGATATAAAGTATTATTTTTTCTTGCCTTTTGAGAATGATTAAGTCTTCTCTGTCATCGTAGTGGATTAAAAGTTACAGATAATTTTTTATTAGTAGTTATTATATACTTGTTGTGTATTTAAATTTATAATTTCTATCAAATTCTAGAATTTAAAATAATTGAAAATGCTCTCAGTTTATCTCTATCTCCTCATGTTGCAATAATCTGTGACTTAAGTTTAAACCTGTTATGAATTATTTAACATTCCTGAAACTTACTACAACTTTTAATGGCTTTGCTATTTACCATTATTTCTTATATTCAATTTTATTCTTTTTTTATTTTTTTATTGTTGGGGATTCATTGAAGATACAAAGAACCAGGTTACATTGATTGGTTATGTCATATAAAGACCCTCCTTCTTGAATTTTTGCTTTCAAGTAATTATTTTACTCAAAGGATATTTGTGTGTCTGAAAATGTCTGTAATCTATTTTTGTGTTTCAATGCTATATTGTTTAGATACTTATTCTAAATTCAAAATGGTTTCTTGCACAAAAAAAAAAGTAAATATTTGATGCCATAGCCCTCTGGCAACCTGTGCTACTTGTGGAAAGTGAAACGTCAAATGAATTTTCATTCCATTTGTATATAAGCTATTTTTATTCTCCTTAGATTTTTTCTCTATCATTCCTAAATTTAATAAAGAAATGTCTTGGTATGGGATTACCTCTTAATCTGATTAAGATAGCCTTTATTGGGTGGCACTTGTGGCTCAAGGAGTAGGGCACCAGCCCCATATGCCGAGGGTGGTGGGTTCAAACCCAGCCCTGGCCCAAAAACTGCAAAAAAACCCCAAAAATACCCTTTATTTCTTTCTCTTGTCTAATTGTTCTGGGCAGGACTTCTTCTAGAATTGATAAGTAAATTCATCAAAGTATTAGATTACTAGATGTAATAATTGTACATCAATTAGTAACATTTCTATATACTAATAAGTGTCAAGCTAAGAGTCAAATCAAAGATTCAATAACATTTACAATAGCTACAACAAAAATAAAATACATAGGAATATATTTAATCAGGTAGATGAAAGATATCTACAAGGAAAATTATAAAACTCTGATGAAAGCAATAGGAAATGACATTTTTATTACTATAAGTTTATGATGAATCTTGAAGTTAGAACATGTAAGTCATTAAACTTCATTCTTTTTCTGAGTTGTTTTTGCTGGTCTTTATCCTTTGTATTTCAATACACATTTTATAATCAGCTTAACAATTCATACAAGAATTCCTGCTGAACTTTTTTCCTTGTAAGTTTCTTTTATCAATAGCAAAATATTAAGAAGGTACAAGTGTTTTAGGTTACATGGATCAGTTTTGTAATCCTTGAGTCCAAATTATAGGTGTGCCCATTACTCAAAGTGTTCATTATATCTATTAAGTAGGTTATGCTTCTCTTCTCTCCCCCTCATTGTTGATTTCTACTGAATTTGCTTCCATTTGTGCACATGTGTGTTCTTCAGTTAGTTCCAATTTAATAATGATTACATGTGGTGTTTGTTTCTCCACTCTTAAGATGCTTTGCTTAGGAAAATGGTCTTCAGTTCCACTCAAATTGTTGTAAAAAGGTATTAATTCATCCTTTCTCATGGCTGAGTAGTACTCTATGGTATATATATATCACATTTTACTTATTCAATCATGAACTGATGGATACCTGAGTTGATTCCATATCACATATGATACAACTGACCATTTGAAAGTATAATTCAGGAGTTTTTATATGCTAATGGAGCTGTGCAAAAATTATTTGTGAAAACAGCATTCCAGCACATTTTCATCACTCCAAAGCTTATACTCACTACCAGTCACTTCTAATATCCTCCTCCCTTGCCCCTATAAAACACTAATCTACTTTATGTCGATATAGATTTTCCTATTATGAGAGACACTAGAAAAATTTTGAGATATATGAAATTTAATAAATGCAAAATCATTTGGATTACTATATTTTCTAAAAATAATCACCACAACATTCTAACATACTCCTGCATTCTTATAAACGATTTTTGAAAACACATTTTCCACTAATTTACTTCAAATGCTATATTTCCACGTTTGTAAGTGTGAGTGGCTTTTTCAAGGCTAGAGAACCTTTTCTACACAGTGAGTAACAGGTAATAATCACATGGGGTCAGGTCAGAATTGTAGGGTGGATGAGTCATGAGTTTAACCTCTGTACAGTTTAGGAACTGAATGGTGATGTTGGTTGTATGAGAGGATTGTCATGGTGCAAGATGGTTCCCCTCAGTCCTGCCCTTTGTCACTGTTCTTGAAGCTTCCTGGGAACTTTTGGTAGGCATACTGTTGTTTATCACTGAACAGTAGCAGCCTTCTGTTCCTCCAGAGGAACAACTACAACACAATTACTTTTAAAGAAGAACATTGCCACTGTTTTCTTTCCAACACTTCACTTTTGTTGGGGGATTTTTATCAGGAAAAAAGTTGACACTGTTGACTAACACTCTTTGGATCACACTGGTAAATTCAGGTTTCTTCGTCAGTAACAATGTGAGAAATACATCTAGACTTGTCTATGACCAGCATTTATTTACACTGTTCAACCTGAATGCACTTTTGCTCATCTGTCAAAGGGTGAGGCACCCATTGGCATGAAACTTTCCTGACTCACATATAAGCATGCAAGATTTTGGATACTGCTGCAATCCAATCTGTACTGACATTTCAATGTCCTTAAATGTCTCTCAATTCTTTTTGTGAACTATTTTTTTCCCACAGTGGCATTATTTTCCTCAGTCACTGAAGTTACTGGACACTCACTCCTCTCCTTGTCTTTAGTGATGTTCAGCCTCTTCTAAATTCTTGAAGCCACCAAAAAATTGTCATGAAGGAAGGAGTAATGTCCCCAAAGGATCATTGAAACTCTCACAGCTTTAAGACTACTACAAACCACTTTTAAAATAATAGAAAATCATAAATTAAAGTGCTCTCTTTTAGCTCCATAGCTGAGGCAAACTGAGTGCCCT